TATCCGGCCCGTGTGACTCCAGCCCGTGTGAATGTATCCTTCTTAATTGTGGAATGCTGAGAGTAATCAACTGAGATCCTGTTGTTACGCTAGCATGGAGATTGAGAGCAAGTTAGTGTAGTGGTTAGAGGGTCAGACTAGGCTCTCAAATACCCATGTTCAATCCCCGCTCTGTCATGAAAGATTGCTGGGTGACCTGGGTGGACCAGCCCCCACCCTCTCAGCCTAATCTACCTCATAGAGCTGTCGTGAGGAAAACCTGGATGAGAGGAGAATGAGGTAAGCCACTTTGGGTCCCCACTGGAGAGAAAGACTAATGGAGTAAAGTGAATATATGAAGTTAATAAATAAAAGCAGGCCAGAAGGGAGGAGCAAGGCAGGCTGATGGAAGAAGTTCTCTATTCCTGTTCTCCTATTCCTGACCTTATTCCCAATATTTAATATACATTGCAGTACAGTGCCCAACAGGCCTGGAGGGGGGAAAAGTCCTTTCCCTATAATAGAGGCTTCATGCGTAGCAATTGGCAGCTGAAGCTTTTCATGGCATGGAGGTACATAACATCTCGTAAAAAGACAGGATTTTTTTTCCTCCAGGCAGTTGGCAGTCATTGGATTCTGCCTAGCTCTACCCCCCCTTTTGCAGGACTGTTCCCCCCGTTTCTATAACCCTCTTTTTTTTAACTGCATTCTGGCCACTACTAGTTTCCTTGAGTGTTAACAGAGGTGTTCCAGTCAGGACAGGTGAGTGAGATGCCACTGTCAAGCTCAGAGGAAGGACCGTTTTATAACCAAACTTGTCCCCCCCCCCCCACATGACCTTGTACCTTACAGGACTTTTCTCAAATTACTTTGTAGGTAAGTCCAGTTGGTTGCTAACCCTTTTGATCTGGCAGCAAAGGAATGCTTGTCAGCTAGAGCTTTGGCATGGAATCATGAAAACAGCTGTGAGAAGAACAGATTGGCCTATTGACGGATCATATCACAAAAACACTGCCCCCATGGCAGCCAACTTTGAAGTGGTTTTCCCATGTGCAGTTCCCTGAAGGAAAAGGCACGGTGGGGAGCTCTCTGTGCCAGGTAAAATGATGCAGATTACCCAAATGCAGTGTCTAATTTCCCCTAGTCTTCAGCTTTTCAGCAGTGCTGCCTGCCTATACCACCAGAATGGACAGACTCTCACACTTGCAGCTATATGGAATGTTATTTTAGAAAGTTGTTAGGGATGGATATCTGTTTTTCGTTGTTTATTGCTATGCTACGAGCACTGTTTATATGAAGTAGTTTTATGACAACTCAAATTGTTATAAAAGAAAAAAAATCAGAGAAATTGTTGTTCTGGGCTCTTCTTTGAGGCAGAACAGTCTTCAAAGTAGGAACCTCATTAAAAATTAGGAGCTAGAAGTATAGCTGGGCTGGTTACCAAGACGCACACAATCGTATCCTCATGCTTTTGGTTTGTGCCTGACTGACTGTACACGTTTGTTCAGTCTGAACAGAAGTTATAACCCAGTGGATAAGGCCAAACGATAGGGAAGGCATGCTGAATTTCACTAGACTCAATGATTTGTATCCAAAGAGTCACAGAATTGGGCTCCTCCCTTCCCACTGTAGTCCTTGCGCTTGCTGCAAAGCTGTCCATGAGAGCCAGAGCACCCTTTGGAATGGAGTGCGATGCAGCACAATGGGCTGCAAGTGAGTGTGGGAGGTGGGGTGAATGAGAGAAAATCACAGTCTGGCACTTGTGTTAGTGCTTAGTGGAAGTGGCACTGTTTGGATCCAGTCCAATGGAAGTTAAACACACAGCTAAGCATTTCAGTACAATCGATTTTAATGAGGTGTAATCACACCTAATTTTCTCTGAACTGCAGCAAACTGCCTCATCCGGTGACTGTTCTCTGTACAGGAACTCTAGCTCATGTGGAAAGATCCTTTGCTTGGGATGGCTTCCCCCTCCACCTCAGTTAGTAGAGCTGATCTGTCGCATTCCCTCACCCATATGGATCAGCTGCTTGCCTGATGGGATGGATTCTTGTGTGTCAAGGTGATCTGAAAGTACATTTAAACCTTTGAGCCCCTGTAGATTTTCTGGTGATAAATCGTCCTCTTAGTCAAGAGAAGTTTTATATTTCTGAATACATGTTCAAGTTGATTGTCTAGCCTCAGACCATAACAATAGAACTGTAAACATAATAACAGCTTTGAGGAGCTACTGGGATCTCTGAAGTAGCAGTTCTAATAAGATAATATACATATTTTTGTCTTACCGTTTTAAGTATCTTTCTTTAACCAGTCAACAAAGCCACATAAATTAGATGATACCCCAGTTACTACACATAACTGTACCGTGGATGGGTTGCTGAAATCTTTGCATAGCTTCTCCCTGGCCCATTCAATTCTAAAATAAAGTGATATTCCCAAAGTCCCCCATGTTTCCTACCTTTTATTCTCTTATGGGAGTGTAAATGGGAGTGTGTTAGAACATCCCATTTCAGCAGTTTAAATATGAGATCCAACAGAATTAAACAAAAATCTCTCAACAGAAAAGTGAATCTAATCAGGATAAATCAATAACCAGAACAGCTTCTTAGGAATATTAGGGAGTAATTGAAGAAGCTGTAAATAATACATTTGATAATCATTCTTTAACTAGGTGCAAAACTGCAGTAATTACACACAATAGATATATGAGCTGTGAAACGAAACAGACCTTTTAATATGGAGTGTTGTAATCCAAAGTGTTTGAAACTGTGATTGTAGATGTTCTGCTCTGGTTGAATACCATCAGGCTAGCAGGAGCTCAAGTGAACTCAGCGCTATGTACAGTATAAATAATCCCCATATTTTGAGCAGCAAGCATCATGACCAGCTGATATTTTCTTTCACCAGGACCAGCTGTTCCCTAGGAGTGTCTGGCCGGAGCCGTATGATCTTATCAACATAGTTTGGAGCGGTATCCAAACACTGAGAAAGCCTCTGGTGCAGCAATGACTGTCGTAGAGGAAAATCGCCCTTTTGCCCAACAATTATCCAATGTCTACTTTACGATACTTTCACTTTTCTGTTTTAAGCTGTTTGTGAAAATCAGCCTCGCAATACTCAGTCACTTCTACATTGTAAAAGGGAACAAAAAGGAGGCTGCAAGGATAGCTGCTGAGTTTTATGGAATTCCTCAAGGACAAGGTATGTTATCTCTGCTTTATTGCTATTATTGGTCCCTTCCTGTTATTGATCCGGTAATTTTAAACTGTTTCTTCGAAAGCTAATCAGTCTGATTTTTCTTATTCTCTATGCCAATTAATTTTATTGCATACTTTCCTTATTTTACTTATGCTGCAAAATACACCATTTTGTGATGTAGTGCTTAGCATGCGAGACTAGAAGTGAGCAGACCCAAGTTCCAATCCCCATTTGGCCATGAAGCTCACTGGGTGACTTAAGCGGAAGCCCAGTGGCACCTTAAAAGCTAAAAACATTTATTTTAGTATGACCTTTCATAAATCTTAAAAGGCTTATATGAGACTTAAATGGGCCAGTCAAACTCTCTCATCCTCAGGGCTGCCAAGGGTGGAGGACTAGGGACCCATGAAACAGGGCAAATCAAATGAAGTTTGGATTGTATCTGGATGGTATGGGGGCACTCGGAAAGAATCTTTGCGTGGTGGCCCATTGTGGCTCTTGATGGGAAAATGGAAGATGGGGGAACCGTTACACCCAGAGCTCTGTGGAGAAAAGGTGGAATAAAAATGTGGCTGATTTTTTCTTCTTCATGTGTAGTCCTAATGATTACTTGTCAAGGAAACTCTAAAACATGAGTAATTCTGGTAGAATGTGCTGAATTAAACTTTTGAAATCTAACTTTTGTTTGCTCTTGAATTTTACAAAACTACATGTAGGAAAAAGTCCAGAAAAATATATTTATACAGTTATTTCCACACAGTAATACTAGTTGATATTCATACAGCTTCTGTAGGGTGTTCCAGTACGTAGATTTCTAGCAGAGCTGTTCTATATATGCTTTTGTAACCACATTTGTACATATACTCAGTTAAATTTAGATGATGGTATGAAACCTGAATGTTAATGATTTCTGAAAATAGTAAAAGAAGTAATTTTGTATTTGGTATTAAAATTTCAGACATTCATATTATAAAAAGTGGGATTTTTTTGTACAGCAGTTCAAAAATGTCAGTATACATTAAAAGCCAAAACACTTCAAGCAATATTAGAAATGCCAGAAGCACTAAGTTCATATCTAGTTCTTGATTTTCTTAGGCCTCCGTAGGCAAGCAATTCATACTCCTAAGTAGCATCCAACAGAAGTCTGTAATATTATTGTTAAGTAAGCAACAGTTGTCAATGAAGCAACCTCTAGGTGTTGTTGATAAATTATGACAAGGAAAATAAATGAATGAAAAGATCAGGTGCTCAAAGGAGGCTGTGAACTCAAAACAAATGGGCACATTGTTTTCCATTAAAATGTCTATAACCCCTGGATTGCTTGACCCCTGCATGTAAAATCAAATGTAGAGATCTGATCCCTGCTCTTGGCATAGCAAGCAGCCAATATTATTCCTGGTGCCAAGGGCTGTTGTTCATACTTAGGAAGGATTATTGTGCAGTGGTGATAGTGGCAGGTCCAGGAATGGAACATTTACTCCTCTTAGTACCACAGATATTGTCACAACTCTGTCACATACCTCTCCCCCATAAAAGGTTGAGACATTTTACTAGCTACAACTATCATAATGCAAAGCAATGTACACAAAAGTAAACACAATTAGTTTGAGTGTGACATTTCTAATAAGTACTTATGTAGAACTATAGCCTTAAGTCATTTCCACACATGACATTAAATTTGCCTTTGAGCCTCTCTCAAAGAATATGCATAAGGCCAGCATTGTTGGGCATCTACCAAGGTGTCAGAGCCTCTTCTGAAGAGGGTTTATTTCAAATTTCACATTTCTGCTGTTTGAACCCCAAAATTTCCATTTTGGTTTTCCTAATCTGTGCAAATGTGATTATTCCATTTTAATATATTTTCTATTTTCCTACACTGATTTTTTTCTTGTAACAATGTACAAGTTCCAAAGTTATTATTTCTACAAACCTAACAGCAAAAAGCAGAGAAGTGAAACTATTGGCAAAAATATAAATAAATAGAAGAAGACAAAAATTAGGGATATTGGCTTATTCCAACCTTTATGCTGCATTTCCAACTTTTAAGAATGTTTGACAATTTATAATACTTGTCCGATATATATGATTAACTTGTTAGCAAGCCCACACCACCAATATTTTCTATCCCATCACTATATCAAAGTCACTGAATTTTAGGTAGGCACACTTTTCAGGAAGGGCTTTAATCGTTAATATGAAAACTATCTGTGATCCAGTGAAGCAATCATTTCCATGTAGTGAATGCATCACTGTAAGTTATAGCACATTCTTTTCCTACTTGCTAGTCAAATGTTACAACTGTTTGGGGGGGGAGATGTAAACTATATCTTGCCTTCTAGGATGCATATAGGATTATTGGATATGGCCTGAGAGTGGGAATCTTCTATCTCTTCTATCATTAATATTGTCAGAGCCTGGTGGGTTGTTGAAGAAAAATTTTCTAGAAGGAAAAGCAATTGAATCAGTGTTGTTTGTCTGGGACTTCAAACATTTGCTAAAGAAAATGTTCAGTTTTCAAATTTGGCTATATTGTGATTGCTGTGTGTTATACTGAAATTAGACATTATGGGGCATTTTTTTTCTTTTCCAAAGTAACTAGAAATCCTTGATGATCTGAGAGGGATCAGTGGGAAGATAACTTCGGCATAACTCAAAACAGGCATTGAATCAGAGTTTGTTCAGCATAGCCTATCCAATCTACTTCAAAAATACTACATAATTTCAATCTAGGCAACACCTAATTAGGGGAACATATGCATTTATTGAAGAAATTGACTGCTCCAAGTATATCTACTTGTGTAGGGCCAGCAAACATCCAGTGCCCCACACACTAAGTATGCAACTCCATTCTGCACGCATGCGCCTCCCGAAAGGACTGCGTGGAGCACCACTCCTTCACACTTCTGTAAGCCCCTCTGGTGCTGGCCAGGCTAAAGAGAACACGAAAGAGTTGTACTTTGCTCCATCCAGGCACCTGTCCTATTCATGAAATGGGAGATTGCCGCAGAGTTCTCTGCAACACAGAACATTAAAATAGTGCTTTCAATGTCCACATATTAACATGTTCTTTTTTTTTGTTTTGAGCCCCCGGAGGGGATTTTTTATTACTTTTTTTTATAACACTACAAAACTACAACAGAAAAAGGAAGGGGGAATTACATTAAAAGGACAAAGCAAGATACCCACTACTGACTAAAAACCCAAGATAGGAGATCCTCCCACCAGCTTAACTACATCAAGTCTTCACTTCATTTATACCATTATAAACTGAGTCAAATAGTTATAATAACTTTTTTCTTTAAGCCTTAAACTTTAACCACCTTCAAAAAGTACCCCCAGTCATCCCATTTCAAAGTTCTCAAAGGCACAATTCAGAGTCCTTCAGCCTTCACTTCTCCTTTCCACGTCTCTTCCGCAACTTATAAGGACTTTTAGGGGCTGCTGCCCCTTGCTCTGAGAGAGAGTCCTCTCCGGAAGATCCTGCGTCCAGCTCGCCACTGGACTTACTGTCCATCTCTTCTTTTCTTTCCTCCTCTGACCCTCCCAACTGGGCCCTTATAAATTCCCAAGCTTTCAGAACAGAGTCAATCTTTTCTTTTTTGTCCTTGATTTTGAAGGTGACGCCTTCTGGAGTTAGCCATCTGTATCCAATTGAATTTGTTTGAAGAAAAAGAACAAGGTCTTTATACTTCTTTCTCCGTTGTCTTATTTCAAATGGAATGTCTTTTAAAACTCTGATGACATTCTCTTCCACTTTCAGGGGTACTCCAGAAACTGCTTTCAGGATTGCATCCCTCACATGCCTCTTCGAGAATCTTACCACTACTTCCCCAGGCAGATTATTTTTCTTTATATTGCCTGAATCACATATTAACATGTTCTGATCAGCTGGAGAACAGTCCTGTAAAGAAAGTCAGCATTATCAGTGCAGATATGGCTGGGAGATAGGATTACCAGATTCCCTTGGCAACCAGTGGGGGGGACTTACTGGGTAGTGGGGGGGCCCACTAGCAATATGCTGACATCACTTCTGAGTGCACAGCGAGTAAGATCAGTGTGTTGGGATGCTGATGACTCCCCCCCCCTTTGGTGCCATCCAGCTGAGCAGCGGTGGAGAGCACCTACTGGGGGTGGGAGATCCCCTGCCCTCAGTGGGGCCCAGGAAACCTGGGAGATTGAAAGTGCCATCCTAAGCAAAATTACACACTTTTAAGCAAATTGATTTCAGACTTAGAAGCAGTGTTCCCCCTAAGATAAGTTAGTGTGAGCTAGCTCACAGTTTTTTAGCTTCCAGCTCACATATTTTTGTCATAACTAAGGAAGGATGGCTCCAGAGCGAACTAATTTATGCAGTAGCCAAATCGCTTGCTTACAACTTTAATGCCAGTAGCTCACAAAGTAGAATTTTTGCTCACAAGACTCCATAGCTTAGAGGGAGCATTGCTTAGAAGTGTTTAACTTTGCTGGATTGCATTTTGAGGTTGAGAGAGGGTAGGTTGCCTAAGGTGATCTGGCAGAGATGAGTTCTGAATTGGGAATCTCCTAGATCACCTGCCTATTTTTCTCCACTACTGCAATGCTTCCTTTCGCTTGCAGGTCAGGGACAGGGTATTTACTCAGGTTCCTACTCTTAGGTTCAGACAGCAGAGATGATCGTCCTAAAAAAAGATCCATTTATTAGCAAGAAGATACAGGGATGGGAGCAACTGGTTTCAGAACAAGGAGCTCCTGCAGTCTTTACTTCTAATTAACAAAGAGGACCAAGCAATGACTCCACTAAATCAATACAACCAGATATCAGAGAGGAGAATGAAGCATTATACTTGCTATTAAGGTTTCTTCTCATCAGTGGATTGGAAGGCACCCTTATATGGTTTGTACCTCCTTCTTGCTCCATGGACAAGGCATATGAACATAAGAACATAAGAGAAGTCAATGTTGGATCAGGCCAATGGCCCATCTAGTCTAACACTCTTTCACACAGTGGCCAAAAATACCAGGTG